CTTTATAATATATAAAATGATATAATGTTTTATATATAAAATCTATGCCATACCAACTATTCTGTGCATTGTGTTAAATATGTATATAGGCTTGTAGTATACAAATTGTATTGCGTTTATTCGAAATGTGTGACATTTGAAACATCTACCGGAATTCTTACTGGGGAAAAACGTCTCACGATGCAGATAGTGTTGAAATTGGCATTATTCTGTTAATTCTCCTATATGCCCCACCCACGCGGAGGGTTTGCGTGCGTGTGGGTGTGTTTGAGAGAGTGTGTGTTTGAGAGTGAGTGAGTGTGTGTGTGCCCCAGCTAGGTAACTTCCAATAAGCCTATTTTCAGGCGCTGCATAATATCATTGCGCCTGCTGCACCCATGGTATGGCAGCAAAGTTCCTTGATTATTACGATGTAACTACAGAAGAGTCAAGTTTTACATAGGAAAAATATAGAAACTCTTTGGTCATTTTTGAGCGAGATGCTAACGGTCTAATCAGATTCAATGATCTATGCTAAGCTACAGCTAAAAGTGCTACCGCCAGACCCGGAGATCAGCTGGTAAATGGTAAAACTTAACTGTTTAACTCTAGGAGAGTTGGAAAATGAGCCTATTTTCAAAAATAGTGGAGTGTTCCTTTAAAGCTTAAGTGTATGGAATACTATTGAAACTTTGAACGGCCATATCTTCGTAACGGCATGGCGGATCTACACCAAATCAGAGGGATCCTTTCAGCTCAAGGAACCCTCTCGAACGCCGAATCGAGTGTGCGTCTCGAGGCCCCCTTTTGAATGAGACCACCCCCGCATCGATAGCCGGTGGTCCCGAATTCCGTAAGTGCCCTGCGAAGTGGACTTCACATGATGTTCCGCCATGATTCCGGTTCCAAGGGAACGTACACGTTACATTCAAACGGCATTAAAGTGCGCGAGACGTGAATTTAAATTGTATTTATTTACAGAGGTATATTATGTCACACTTCTCTAGTAAGTTTCGTTAGTAAGTGTGAAGACAGTATCGCAAATCCGTGAATGAATGTTCCGAAGTGAAATAAACTTCAATTAAATAAAGTTGAATTGAATTGAAATAAAGTCGAATAAACTGCAACTTTACCCTTCAAAAAAACATTTTTAGTGAATTGTTGGCCTTCTGGAAAGTATGTTCATTTACTGTACATGTACTCAATACTTGGTAGGGGCTCCTTTTGCTTTAATTACTGCCTCAATTCGGCGTGGCATGGAGGTGATCAGTTTGTGGCACTGCTGAGGTGGTATGGAAGCCCAGGTTTCTTTGACAGTGGCCTTCAGCTCATCTGCATTTTTGGTCTCTTGTTTCTCATTTTCCTCTTGACAATACGTTCAGGTCTGGTGAGTTTGCTGGCCAGTCAAGCACACCAACACCATGGTCATTCAACCAACTTTTGGTGCTTTTGGCAGTGTGGGCAGGTGCCAAATCCTGCTGGAAAATGAAATCGGCATCTTCAAAAAGCTGGTCAGCAGAAGGAAGCATGAAGTGCTCCAAAAGTTCTTGGTAAACGGGTGCAGTGACGTTGGTTTTCAAAAAACACAATGGACCAATTCTAATTTTTTGAGATGCACCAGTATATTCTGTATATACTGTATTCTATATATAGTACCAGTCAAAAGTTTAGACAGACGAATGGGAAATTGTCCAATCTTTTGACTGTGTATATTATAGTACAGAACCAAAGAATATCGACTGATATATTGGTATCGACCTTTTTACTCCCTAATATCGGCCCCAAAAAACCCATATTGGTTGGGCTCTAATATATATAACATTTTACTTATTTATCAAACAATATCACAACATTGGTTGCATAAACTGCTGTTCAAATTTTTGGATTCAGTACTTTTTAAGAAATATTTTATTCAGCAAGGAATGTATAATTGACCAAAAAAAAAGAAGAAATAAAAGTTAACTTTTTAGTGTTACAAAATTTCTATTGAAATTAAATGCTGTTTTTTTAGCCTTTTGTGTTGATCTTTAATCTTTGTGTCATGGTTTCCATAAAAACATAAGCAACACCACTGATTTCAGCTTTGATAATAATAATTAAAATTTAGAATAAGAATTTCTTAGGTAGAAAATCATCAAATAATTATTTGTGAGGGATCATGTGACACTGAAGACTGGAGTAATGATACTGAAAATTCAGCTTTGCATCACAGAAATAAATTGCATTGTAAAATACAGTCATGGCCAAAAGTTTTGGCAGTGACATGAATTTTGTGTTTTGCAAAGTTTGCTGCTTAAGCTGTTGTGGTGTTCATTCACATTGTTTCTAGATTATTGTGTAGAGTGATCAGATGCATTTTAAATAATTGCTAAAAGCTTCACTGGCCAAAATAAAATCAACTTTTCACAAAAAAAACCAACAAATTTCACAGTTTTTTGATCCTGAGACAAAGGGCCTGTTTACACGTCATTTCATGCGTTTTCGCTGATCAGATATCTATCGGATTGGTAAAAAGTTTATAAATGTGTCGTCGCAAAACGGATTTAAATCTGATCTTCAATTCCTGCGCTATATTTAAATTTGACAGAGTTCATGTCAACGAAATCAAAAGATAAGCGCTGCATTTTATTAATTATCAGCTCATTTCAAGATCAAAGACCGCAATAGGAGTGCGCGCGGCATCAGCACTGGAAAGATAAGTTTGTCTTACTACTTTTAATGAAGATGATTGTGTGTTGACCGTCTGCGTCTTACTTTGTTTCATTTGCGGTAGTTTGCACGTCAGCTTGCTGAAGAGATACTCAGCTAATCATCCGCAGCGATGCGTGTAATGTCATATAGCCTATAACATGCTCTCACACGTTTATTATTTTAACATTTTGGGAGGAGTAAAATTTACATATGTGGTTTCAACAACCAGATACAATTACACTGGTCCAGTTTCGTCTGGAATGCAGCCACCTCCTGATTTATATCCGTCTCGAATGCGTTTCGGAGGGCATTTACACCTGGTCTTTTCACGATCGGATAGCTGTCCGATCAGGCAAAACGCATGAAGTGACCAGGTGTAAACAGCCCCAAAATGACTAGCTAACATTAATTGGATAATCATATCAGCACCACATGAAAGTGTGAATGAGTACTAGTCAGGTGAAATCACTATCATACTAATTAGATTGTAAGAGCAGACTGAAACACTTCCAATCATTGTGTTCTTGTTAGCAATGGTTACCTCACATGCAAGGAAATTACTACAAAGAATATTTAACCTGAAACAACCATTTACCGGATCATCAAGAACTTCAAGGAGAGAGGTTCGACTGCAGTGAAGAAGTCTTCAGGACGTCCCAGAGTGTCCAGCAAGCGCCAGGACCGTCTCCTCCTGAGGAATCAGCTATGGAATCATGTCACCGCCAGTGCAGAGCTTGCTCAGGAATGGCAGCAGGTTAGTGTGAGAGCATCTGCACGCACAGTGAGGCCAAGACTTTTGGACAATGGCCTGGTGTCAAGAAGGGCAGCAAAGAAACCACTTCTCTCCAAGAAAAATGCCAAGGACAGACTGAAATTCTGCAGGAAGTACAAGGATTGGACCGCGCAAGACTGGTGCAAGGTTATTTTCTCTGATGAAGCTCCCATCCGACTATTTAGGACATCTGGAAAATCAATTGTTCGGAGAAGAAAAGGTGAATGCTACCAAGAGTCCTGTGTTGTGCCAACAGTGAAGCATCCTGAGACCATCCATGTGTGGGGTTGCTTTTAAACCAAGGGAGTGGGCTCTCATAATTCTGCCCAAAAACACTGCCAGGAATAAAGAATGGTATCAAAACGTCCTGCAAGAGCGACTACTTCCAACGATCCATGAGCAATTTGGTGCTGATCCGTGCATTTTCCAGCATGATGGAGCACCATGTCACAAAGCGAGGCAGATCAATATAGCATTAGAAAAAATTTTCTAAAATTTTATTAAATTTTTTTTCTCATGTAATGTTCTATAATCAAAGCAATGTATTTTGTGGATGTCTGCCAAAAGTCTTCCTTTATTCCGTTGTCATGAGTGGGCTCATCCCACATACTAGATATAAGAGAGCAGAGCACAGTAGTAAACGTGTGTGTTTAGTAGAAGTCTTTGGAGTGGCAGCGCTCTTAGGCCCAGATAAGCCCCAGGCTGAGATCAGGAAGTGCTGAGAGAGTGCTAGGCTGTGTTTGCCAGGGCTCAGCGCTGCAGTCTGTTTGAGCCGAGATTCTGCTTGGGAGGCTCTTTCACTTTAATGTAAATCCTGGGATCCATCAGGAATGTTGCATGTGTTTGAGGCTGTGCATATTGATTGCTGGCATTTGTTGAGTTTTTCCTTTTGTGTGCAGTGGAGCTAAAGGTTTTGAAGTTTTCTATCTTTGGGTGTATGTTAGAATAAATCTTTAATTTATACTGAAAGGTAATTATGGCCTCTGTTTGTTGTTATAAGATAGAGTGTTAGTCTAAGATGTCCTTGAATGTGAGCCATTTAGAGTAAAATTCATCACAGTACTGTAGTATTTAATTTTTAGATTAGATTAGGGAAAAAAAAACAAAATAAATCTTAAATGTGTCAAGTTCTTAAATAAAGCATAAATATTGTTTTTTGGAAGTCTCACCACATGACATTATTTGTAATATTTTCAAACTGTTTTATTAGAATATTGTTTTCTTAAGATTATGCATATTTATTTGCCTGTGTCTATTTAATACGGGTTTTCTTTTTAAGAATCTCATTCTTTTAATGCGTTTTCTTTATTATCATATCAGGACAGCTTTATCACTCTGATGTTTTTGAATGATTTCCCCCACAAAAAATATCAAAAGGAAATTTTAATCCAGATATTAAAAACATGCTCATTTTAGGAGAGGTGTATTCAAATCATTGTATGCATTTTTAATGTGTTTTTGAATATACAAACAGATCTAGAATGTTTTCACCCACCTGGAATTATTGATGTGCCAGAAGCTTTGTATTCTTATTGTCTTCTGTTTTACTTTAGGGAGTTCAAGATTGTGCCACAGAAACCAGACTCGCCCAGACAGTAACAGACCAGACACACCTGAGCTGCCCCACACGACACCAGGCTGGACTCCAAATCATATATTAGGAGGATTTGAGTTGAGGACACGAACACAGACACAACCAGGAGCGTCTTATATAACTGAGGAAGCTCCCCTGCATCAGTGAGTGCTCTTATGTGAAGTGCTCTGATTTTATTCTACGCCTGTCAGCGTCATGTCTGTCTGTGTTGACTCACGGCAGTCATACCGAACAATAGAAATGGTAGATCTGTTCGGAGTCAAATATTGTGCTTTAAAGGAATAGTTCACCCCAAAATTTACTCTCAGCCCATCCAAGATATAGATGAATTTGTTTCGTCACTGAAATTTAGCATTACATCACTTTGCTCACCAATGGATCCTCTGCAGTGAATGGGTGCCGTCAGAATGAGAGTCCAAACAGCTGATAAAAACATCACAATAATCCACATGACTCCAGTTTACCAGTTAATGTCCTGTGAATTGAAAAGCTGCATGTTTGTAAGAAACAAATCCATCATTAAGACGTTTTAACGTTAAACCATCGCTTTTGGAAAAAAAATATGAGTCCGTAATCCATAATTACACTTCCTCCAGTTAAAAAGTTCACTCTCATCAACATCCATAGATATATTTGATTATAACTATTTTGGACTGTTTTCACTTATAAATGGTGCTTGATCTGTGCATATTTCTCTACTGATTCAGACAAGGTGACTTTTTTTTACTGGAGAAAACAATATAATGGACACAGGAAGCATTTATTTAAGTATTTTAGCCTGAAGCATATTGATGGTTTTGTTTCTTACAAAAACACAGCTTTTTATTTCACAAGACATCAATTAATGGACTGGAGTGGTGTGGATTATTGTGATGTTTTTATCAGCTGTTTGGATTCTGATGGCACCCATTCACTGCAGAGGATCCATTGGTGAGTAAGTAATATAATGGTAAATTTCTCCAAATCTGTTCTGATGAAGAAACAAACTCATCTACATGTTGCATGGCCTAAGAAGTAGATTTCCAACAAGTTTTCATCTATTCCTTTGAAATGACAACCACTCTCTCTTCTCACAGGAAGTGTCGTCCGCCCTCACTCTTTAACATTCTAGTGGTTCGAGCCGCTCCTGTCCTGCCTGACCGGTGGTGGTGTTGGTCAGACAGCGGGCAGTGCCATGCCCCAGGCGTAAGTGCGTGTCTCCTGGCAGACTCAGGCGTGGTGGGCCGCCGGTGGGCGTCTGGCTGCAGGAGGTGATGAAGCTGAAGCAGCGTGTGGTGGTGCTGTGTGCTGTGCTCTTTCTCCTCGGCCTGGCCAAGGTTTTCTTGCTGGATGGAGGCGAGGGATCGGCCGCCAGCCGCCGTGACCTGCGGGCCTTCCGTACGATGGAGGCCAGCCTGGCCCTGGCCAAGGGAGCTCGCCTCACGCACACCCTGCAGTCGCCCTGGGAAGTGGCCGCACAGTGGGTGGGTCCGCGGGAGGTGTACCCGGACGAAACGCCCGAGCTAGCCGCTGTGCTGAACGCCCTGGCCACCGCTCGCGTGGAGAGGGCCGACGTGGGCTATAAAGGCACCCAGCTGAAAGCCCTCCTAGTGCTCGACGGAGGACAGAAAGTGGTATTCAAACCCAAGAGGTAAGGAGAGGGATGATTAAGATGGGGAACGAAAGAGAGAGAAAGTTATGAGAATGTGAATGAGGTTAAAATGAAAAGAGTTAGTGATTTAGAAAGAGGGAGAGTGATGGGAAGAGTGAGTGAGTGAATTAGAGAACGAAAAAGCCGGTGACTAAAATAGAAAAAGAAATGAATGAATAAGAGATGTAATAATAATCATTTTTATTTTTACAGTGCCTTTTAGAGACCTGAGTGTGCATAACAATGTGGAACAAAAAAAGAGCATAACAATAGTAATAACAAAACAATAATGCAAAGAGGAAGCAATTCAAAATGTGACAAACAAATTAAAAACAAATGCCAGCCTGGGTTTAGGAGCAGTGGAGCTGAAGGAAAATCTTAAAAGGACTTTTCTCGAATGTTCTTAATGTTTTCGATTAGTCTGGTTTAGGATATCAGTACTGAGGTTCAGTTTGTTAACATTAGTTAAAAGCATTTGGTATCATGAACTAACAATGAAAAAAAAAAGCTTTTGCAGCATTTATTAAACTAGGTTTATGTATTTTCTACATACACGCTGCTTTTTTAATGATCAAAAATGCAGTAAAACAATAATATTGTGAAGTATTATTGCAATTTAAAATAACTGTTTTCTATTTTAGTTTATTTTAAAATAAACTATTGCTGTGATAGCGAAGCTGAATTTTCAGCATCATTAATCCAGTCTTCAGTGTCACATGATCCTTCAGAAATCATTCTGATATGCGTATTTGCTGCTTAAGAAACACTTCTTATCAAAGTTGAAACCAGTTGTGCTGATTAATATTTTTGGGGAAACTGTGATGCTTAAAATAGAAATCATTTGTAACATTATAAATATCTTTGCAGATCAATTTAATGAATCAGTGCTGTAACTTGCCAAACAAATATAGTGTATACAAATCAAATTGTTTTCTACATTTCAAGTTGTTACCTAACATTAAATTATTAGTTAATGCACACAAACATTAATTAAAATAAACCTGTATATATATTTTTTTATGATTTATCATTAACCTATATCAAGAAATGTTGTAAAATATATTTGTTTAAAGGGATAGTTCACCCAAAAATTCAAATTGTGTCATTAATTACTCACCCTGTGTCATTAATTACTCACCTGCATCTTCGGAACACAAATTAAGATATTTTTGATCAAATCCGAGAGCTTTCTGCCCCTCTATAGACAGCAACACAACTACCATGTTCAAAGCCCAGAAAGGTAGTAAGGACATCGTTAAAGTAGTCCATGTGACATCAATACTTTTATGAAGCTACGAGAATACTTCTTGTGTGCAAAGAAAATAAAATAACGACTTTATTTGGTAGTAATTATTTTCCGCATCAGCGTCCGCTGCCATTATGGAGAGTACCGCGACGCATGCGTGTGCATTCCTCTGCTCGTAAACAAGGCACAGCGCATCCGTGTTGTACACCAGCAGCATCACACGCATGTGTCGTGGTACTCTCGTGATCGTGTGTTGAAGACTGACATGGAAGAGAAGAATTGTTGAATAAAGTCGTTATTTTTGTTTTCGGTTGAACCACTGATGTCACATGGACTATTTTAACGAAGTCCTTACTACCTTCTGGGCCTTGAACGTGTCAGTTGTGTTGCTGTTTATGCTGGGTGAGAAAGCTCTCGGATTTGATCAAAAATATCTTTGTGTTCCAAAGATGAACAAAGGTCTTACGGGTTTAGAATGACATGAGGGTGAGTAATATTCATTTCAATTTTCATTTGTGAGTGAACTATCACTTTAATGCGTTAGGTGTCATGAAATAATTGTGATGTTAACAAACTTAAACTGTAAAGTGTTACAGGAATAAAATAGCTTGTGTGCACTTAGGACACAAAGCTGATCTGTCATTATTTCAGGTGAGTCCAGCTGTCTGCTCTTATCTGAGCCTATTAGAGTTATCATAGATCTACAGAGACTTTAGATAAGTGAGGAAGCTCTCCTGGTGTCCTTAATCTCTAAGGTCATTGATCAAACACACCTTATCTCTGATGACTTCACATCCAGACTGAACTTTTTCAATCCATCTGCACTGAACGTTTTGCTTCCAAACATCCGAGTCGCGCGTGTCACATTATATTGTGTGCCATTTTAATTGGAGTGTGGAATATCTTCCAAATAGGAGGTTCGAAAGTCAGACTTTTTGAGTGGAATGCCATACTAGTGTCTAATGCTTGAGGTTTGCACTTTGCAATAACAAGTAAATGTGGTTCGGGTCAAGTATACTTTAAACAAGTGAAGTATAATAGCCTTTTAGGCAGTTTTTTCTTAAAATAAGCTGCAGTGTTAGTAGTTTCAAAATGATGTGAAAGAATAAATGCACATTTAATTTGCCGTAAAAAGTGTGGCAATACTCTCAATCTCAATAACATCAGTGAATTCTATATTGAAAAATGCTATTTCAGATTTCCGAGCAGCGAACTCAGCTTGGCCACAGTATTCATGTTTTCTTTGGATGTAATAGTCTCTTTATTATATGTGGTTTTATATAGAGAATTTTACATAAGCTACCCAACAACAGTCTATGTTGAAAAATGGGTCTTGCATTAAGTGGGCGTTGTGTGTGTGTTGGATACTGTCAGTGTATCAGGTCTGGTTTATATTGGAAGACTCAAATAATCTTATATTTGCTCACTACATCCTGCTGTTTAAGGAACAAGGAAGCAGTGTGGGTGCATTTATGTTAAGAGTGGATTGACTAGTTAAGCTCATTACTCTAATACAGTGTCCACACAAAATGTGAAAATGCTGTGTGACACCACACAATCACAGCCAGTCAGAACATATCTGATGTTCAGTATACTGTGATTTGGACCAATGAAAATTCATTTTAAGCCTGTACACACAATGGAACACCACAGAAATTGAAACCAAGAGACCAGCAAAATCATGTCGCAGCTGGTTAAAACAAAAACATTTTTGTACAAGAGAAAGCTTTAATTGCTTGTACACTTTGCACACTTTTTTACCTGAATTCATTAGGACATGGATGTTTTTATATTCATCTTTGTGTCATCTTTTGCTTTTCTCTCAATTACTGTTTGCCTGTCTTATGTCTTTATCTTCTTCATTGTCTCATTATTAGGTACACTAGAGATTATGTGGTTGAAGGAGAGCCGTACGCAGGGTACGATCGGCATAATGCAGAAATTGCTGCTTTCCACTTGGACAGGTAATGTGCAAACACACACAGATGCACAGAGACAGACACGCTAGGGCTGCATGATTAGAACAAATAACTCAATGGTGCATTCCTCCAACTGTGGGCAGTGTTTTAGGGTGATAATTACCTTGCTTTACATTGTTTTCTTAACACATTGTTAGAAAACTCAGAAGCCTCTTGGGTATCTTCAGCAGAGTTCTTTATTGAGAGCGCGCTGCAGTCATCAAAAGTCTAACTAAGACAGAGATAGATTGTATTTTATAGGCATTCAGTGGGCAGTCCTTAAAGGTGTTTACCTTGCACAGCCTCAGAAGTGACCACTTAACCAAACCATCTAAAGACAATACAGGAAATCAACTCCCGACTTTGAGTTTCAGCAAACCTACTCCCCAAAGATAACAGTACCCAAATGATTTAAGCTGCACATGGCCACAAGGACTAAAGACGTGTAAAAAATCACATCTTTAACTTTCAGTAGGAAGATCAGAGCAGATCACCAGCAGAACCCCTCACTAGAAACTATATTGAATCTAATTAGTAAACAGATGCCATTATGTTCACATTAAATGCCCAATACAATGTAGATCACCTTCCCAGAAGCGCTCAGTGGCGTCTTTGCATGTACACATTCAAAACATAAAAGCTGCGCTTTCAGAATTGTGCTTGTGAATTACTGCTATTTTGTACATCATTAAATCAAGTCAGCTGAAAAAAATCTGATAATCAAATTTTTAATTAATTACACTTGGAAGCAATATGACTGGCCAAAACTAGAATGACTGTTTGTTGTCCTGTTCAGTCTGAATTTATTGAGTGTTCACAAGCATGTTGTTACCCGCTGAGGGCCAAGAACCTTTTCGTTTTCTACATTCCTGCTGTCAACTTGGATTTTGATCTTTACCATATTACCAATGTTTTGCTTTTCACTAAAACATCTTGTCAGGCGATGTTTCTTATTTCCATGAGCTACTGTGAACTCACTTTCATGTTGCTCCAAATCCATACGCAGTTTATTTATTGTGGGACACAGGATATTGTTCACTCAGCTCTTTTCCATGCAACACAGGCTTATTGTGACCATGACTGTTTAAGCTCCAAAAATGAGAAGAAAAACACCATTGGAGTATCATAAAAGTAGTCTTTGTGGATTGGTGCCCCATATTCCAGGTGTGAGAGACCGATTTGAAATTGAAGGCCTGTGTTATTCCACAAGAATAATGCAGGTTTAAAACAACATGAGAGTAAAGAGCTGCTTTTAGTTGAACAATTCCTTTAGGCCTTAGATTGACGTCTGCGTGCATGGACATAGCTGACATGCCTGCAATTGGTTACAGTGCTAAGCCTGTCCAGAAACACTTTAGAAATTTAAAATAATAATAATAAAACTTGGGTTTTACAGCAGCAGTAAACCTAAACCTAAATGTAGTGCTCTTCTGCTGGGGGATTCAAACATTTTGATCACTGAAGACTGGAGTAATGATGCTGAAAATTCAGCTTTGCAGTCTTAGGAACACATTATTTAACATACAGTATATAAAAAATAGAGAAGTTATTTTAAATTGTAATAATGATTATTACCTTTTTGTTTTTGTTTTTTGGATCAAATAAATGCAGCCTTTGTAAATATAAGAAATGTGTTTCAAACATAAAAATAAATCTTACTGACCCCAAAATTTTGAACAGTTGCGTATTTTAAAGACCCATCTATATTCTAGAATATTAAATGTGTAAATTATCTGGAAAATTAGATAATATTAGTATATTGTTAAAACTATAGCAGTCAATAAAGAGATGTATTTCAAACATTAAAATACATTTTACTGACCCCATCATTTTGAACAGTTGTGTATTTTAAAGGCCCATCTATATTCTAGAAAATAAAATATTATCTGGGAAATGAGATAATATTAGTATATTGTTAAAACTTTAGCTGTCAATAGAATAAAGTAATTTATTAATCTAATGATTACCAGTTTTAGCAGAATAACAGTCAATAGTAATAAAGTCAAATGCTCCAAATAATTTTTTTTTCTGTAATATTTTTTTCCCTGAAAATGTCTATGAACTCCCGCTGTCCACTGGTGGTCCCAGACACAAGTTCAAAAACCCCTGCTCTAATATTGATCAGTGTATGATTCATTATGTCATCGAAACACTAAACCATGCAGCGCAGAGTCCTGCACGGATCCTGTTTGGTAAATTCGCTTCTGCTCCACACCTGTAGTACACAACAGAACATCCGACCTGTTATTTGACCCACTTGACATAAAGACTGTGACCCGAACCACATCCGCATTAAATCTACTACATCACGTAAACAGAATAACTCCTGCACATTGTGACTATTATCTTACACATATAATCACAGAAACAGAGGCGACTTAATTGGCTGTTTTGCCTACAGAGCTTGAACACAAATTAGCACGAATTTTACCAATATTAACAGAAATGAGTCTTTTGGGGGAAAAAAAGTGTAATTTATTTGTTTACATTCATTTACATGTAGAGGGCGGTGGTGTTTATGACCTATACTGCCACCAGCCACCAGGGGGTGATCTAAATTTTCGGCATGAATTGAGCATAGTCTTGGCTCAGGTCTACGGTCCGCCCATGCCCATGGATTCCCCTATCACACACGCACTGCATATGACAACGTAATATTATTAATGTAAACATTCATAACTGTTTATTGATGTGTCGGCTTCTCAATCTCTTCCTGCAGGATCCTAGGTTTTAGAAGAGCACCCCTGGTGGTGGGGAGGTTTATGAATCTGCGTACTGAGATTAAGCCAGTAGCTACAGATCAACTGCTGAGCACTTTCCTGATGCACGGTCAGTTTCACCCTGTCATTCTTCTATTATGCTTTTTGTCTGTTGAGGTGATCTCTCCCTTTTCCTTTTCCATCACATAAGGAAAATTGTTTAATATGAACTGCATCAGTGCTCAAATGCTCATTGCATCATATAATCAATTAGAAATATCAGTGTATGAATAAAACTCATTAAGACTGTCGACAGTTTCCACACACTTTTCCACACATTTTATTATATCCATGTATGTGTTTACAGACAGTTAAAGGCGTCATATGATGCGATTTCAAGTTTTCCTTTCTCTTTGTAGTGTTACAAGCTAGTGGAGTCAGCTGTCTTAACCGTGGCTTGTGTACTGCAAACACATACCAGCTTCATCACTGTGTCTGTCACGCGACTCTGTTCCCCTTTCTGGTTCTGTCTTACATTTCCGACTAGTGCTTGCAGTGTTCGGCCAATCACAGTGCACTGGGTCAGCTGGCCAATCAGAGTAGAGTGCGCTTGTCGGAAGGAGGGACTTTGTAGAAAACGACGCGTTTGAGAGAGGCGGGGCATATAGGACCTACAATAATGTACAGTATTTGAAAAATAATGTGTTTTTTGAACATTAAAGCATGTCAGCATATTCTGTTACACCAAATACACAAAATAATGATCTTTAAAAAAGCATCATATGACCCCTTTAACAGTGAAATTGTCTTCACTGCATTCGAGACAGGTGACATGATATGTCTTGCCGATAAGAGGAATAAGTTAACCCCCATGTGCTCAGGGTGTGCTAGTGATTAGATCACGTCAGCAGTGTGCTCATTCTTCAAGCAAAGTTTTGTCTGAATGATGATTAGATTCACTGTTTTGGATCGCTGCATTTAATCTGTGAAAGCACATATAGAATGACGCGTTCGGTGTATGATAGAGTAAACAGTAAGCACTTGCAGTGGCAGCCTCCCCCGGGTCCTAACGCCCGTTCGGGAAGGAGTTTAATCTGTAGGGAGCGCTGTTGGCCTACTACTAATTAAATCAAAGTAAAATAGCCTACACAAATTACATTTAGACTGTGTTTCTGATTAAATAAAGCAGTAGTTGATGTCATAAGGTAATGAGTATGTTTTGATTTAAAAGTAAGAAGCTATAGCTTACATGAAAAACCCCACAAACATGACACTTGTAAATTATGTAATTGTGTATATATACTGATTTATTCATTATTCATTAATGTGTAATATGTTATATTTTTTAAACAAATCATAAGCTCTAAAAGATTTTCAGAATTTTTACAACTCTTTTGCTTTAGACCATCTATAAATGTTAAATTTTAAAATAAAATGTTAAGGTTAACTGCATCTTTCTGGGGGAAAAAATGCAGCGATTGATATATAGTTTATTTATAGTTTTTCAAAGCTTCAATGTACTGTCAAAAAACCTTCATTATTATTTATTTAATTATAACAAATAAGTTCTTGTTAAAAACTAGCCAAAATGAAAAATATTTTGCTTATAATTTCTACACAGGAGAGACTTGGTGTTGTTTCCAAACAAAAGAAAATATATCGTATCGGCCAAAATGAGTTGAAAAATATCGGCATATCGGATATCGGTAAAATCCAATATCGTGCATCCCTAGCCACTGTCACCTTGCACTGATGTCGTCTTTTGGAGCCCGAGTCTGCGTAGTAGTGATCATGAGCTGGAGCTGCGTTATCAAAGTCCTGCCCAAACTCCTGCAGACCCAGTCGCAAGCACACAATCATGACGCCACACACCCTTTATATAGCATCAAATAATGGACTAAAACCAAACTCACTAGAAAAATGAACACTTTAACATATATCAGCGTGATAAGAACTACCAATAATGACAGAAACAGTGTTTGGAAAAAAAGTGTAATTTATTAATTTACATACGTTTACATGTAGAGGGCGGTGGGGTTTATGACCTGTACTGCCACCAAATCTAAATATTTTGGCTTCACTTTTCGGGACGTGTGAGGCACACTTGCTTCATTTGCATAAAGTCAAACATTTGTCAACTTTGTCATGTCGCTAGACATGCCTAAATCCTGTCACCAATAATCAGTGTTAATCCTTGTCGTTGCCATTTTGAATGGAGTTTAAGGAATTACAACCCGTTGAATGATCTTGTTCCATTTGTATAACACATTTAAAATAACACATATGTGATACTTCTGTATTGTTAAACAGTTGCATCAGTCAAGCAGTATTTTTTTAGTTCAGATTGGCCTGTGCTGATCTGCAGCATAATCCATTCCATAAAAAGATTCATAACCAACTGTTTGTCTCTTTAAAACAATCCTTTGATGAAGCACAGTCCTTCCAGACATTATTTTAATAATGGTAATTGATGATAATGTGTCTCTTCTTGTAGGAAATAATACATGTTTCTATGGGAAGTGTTATTACTGCCGTGAGACTGAGCCTGCCTGTGCAGAGGGGGATGTGATGGAGGGATCGGTTACCCTGTGGCTCCCTGACGTCTGGCCCTTACAGAAACACAGACACCCATGGGGACGGACATACCGAGAGGGCAAACTCGCCAGGTATTGTAATTCTCTCTCTCTCTCACTAGTTTTCTCCCTTCGCCAGCTATTTTTATGCTTTGACTGGAATGAGTGTACAGGTACATGTTGCTTTATTTGGCATCAGTGGCTCAGTGCAGTTTCAGCCTGATAGTTTGTGGTTGGTCTGATCGTTGTGTGAGTGACTGTTGGTCAGGGGGGACTTTCACTAAGCAATACTAACTCTTGGCCTTTGAGTTGGCTAAGGATGGGATGGTCCAGGATTCAGAATATAACTGCAGATTTTTCACACGCTGGGTGGCACAGAAACTGCTGATTAAAATGAACTTTAGCATTAAGACTGTTGGGTTTTTGGTTACAAGTTTTCCCACCTAAGACATGTTTCCTGAAATGAGGTATAATTTTTTTCCAAAACCTACAAACACAAATCCAAAACTAACACTACTTTTGGTTTTGTGTTTATAGTTTTGAGCAAGAGAAAGTAAAAGTAAGACAAGTTAAATAAGTTATGCAAAATGTAAAGAAAAAGGTCCTCTCAAAAGGACGCCTCTTTAGGTTGTACCTTATTAAATTCTGAACTTACCAAACTCATTAATTAGAAATAAACATTGTTATCCTGAAAAAAACCATGGAGTTACTACATTGTCCAGAATATTTCCAGTCTCATTAATGTAAAGGTAAACAATTCAAAAGTATAATGTGAGTCAGGGAAATCTGTGAAATACTGTTAATTGTGGCAAGGCAGTTGGAAATATTTTCGAAGACTCCTGGCAAGACTCCACCTTTGTCTGGAAAAATTGATTGAATTATTATTTTTTTTTTTTGGTTTGGTACTCCCAGGTTTGGATTGAGAAAGGGGCAAAAGGAGTGAACCCCAAAGTCCTGTTTACACCAAAAAAGATATAATTATATAATTTTATTAGTCGTCCCAATTCTATTAGAATAGTGAAGTCCACACCACAGCTATAATGATAATGACACAGAGGAACAGTAACATTAGCATCACTTTCAGAACACATTTTTTCTAGCTGATGAGCAGTACATTGACAGTCAATCAAAATCCACCCAACTTTAAAGAGCTTGAGCATTTATAGTGACAGAACACAAAAACACAAGACAAAAATGGATGCTAATATTGTTGTCGTTATAGTTAGCATTCTTGGTGTGAATGGTTCTTAAATGGATAGTTCACCCAAAAATGAAAACTGTAATAATTTTCTCAGTGTTGTCATAATACTGGAATTTGTAACTTCGATACAATTACCTTGAAAAATAGGGAACAACTGCCACAACATTAAAGGCATAACATTTTTGTTATTTATGGAAAGATAACTAGAACGACAATGAGGTATATTTTTACATGAATGAAAAAAAGTTGGTGAAAAATGCTGGAGATGCTGGATTTGTATATGTTTACTTAAAATTTCTTCAGAGGGAAGTATTATTTTTCCTATTTTTACCCAGAATAGAGCGAAAACTCTAAATATGCCTCACAAAAGTAATATAATTTATGACGTTGCAGGAAATCCTTAATATGGACAAAAGCATCAAGCTACCACTATATCAAAACGCTTTGACCGGTTAAACATGAAGACAATAAACAAACGACTCTGACAATATGGTTTATCTTTGTTATTCTAGACATCTCCAGTATTATCATAGAAATATTGCCTATATTCATAAAAATAAAGTTTAATTATAATGCAGTGCTAATTGACATACTACAGTATAGAATGCTTGAAAATATTTGGTTTCATTCTATGATAAGCCAAATCAGATCACAAAAGGAAGTTGTTTTAAACACTCAACTGATGTTAAGCGAGTTTGGAGTAAAATGTTATTAAATGTGTATTCTTTTTTAACAACTGGTATGTAAATGCTTCTTATTACGCTGCAGTGAGCGTGAACTCGCTATCAGAAGAGAGAGAGAATGTGCGGCTGGTGTTATTGATACACTGCAAAAAAATAGAGTATTGAAACCATTTAAGATATTTCGGTAACACTTTACAATAAGGTTCATTAGTTAACTACATTAGTTAACATGAACTAATAATGAACTGCACTTATACAGCGTTTATTAATCTTTGTTAATGTTAATTTCAACATTTACTAACACATTATTAAAATCTTGTTAACATTAGTTAATGCACTGTGAACTAACATGAACTAACAATGAACATCTGTATTTTCATTAACTAACGTTAGTGTAGATTAGTAAATACAGTAACAAATGTATTGCTCATGGTTAGTTCATGTTAGTTTATACATTAACTAATGTTTAACTAATGAACCTTATTGTAAAGTGTTACCGATATTTCAGTATCAATATGCATTGAAAAAAAATATATTTTTGACAACAATACTCCAGAATATCTATGAAACAAATTCATACAGGTTTGGAGTGTTCTGGCTGGCCTGGCTCTCTTGCTGAAATAAATGATGATGGAAGCCATTGCCCATTTTTATTTTCATTTGGTGCTTGGCAAGTGTTTATTTTTGACACTGATTGAAGAGGTCTTGAAAGGTTTTGAGGGCATTTTCTTCCGTTTACTGCTATTCAATGTTGCAGAACTGTATGAAATGCATGAAACCTTTTTACATGTCATTAACCTTTCGTCTCTATCTCTGTCACTTTACTGGAAACTTTTGGTTTTAGCAGCCATTTAATGAAACATGAGACTAGTTTGGCTATTACTAATCAGTTCATATTGTGACTGCTATTTAAAATGTAATATGAATTATTTTGATCTGAAGTTCTCTGAAACTTTGCACAAAATTTGTACTTGCACTGAACGTCCGTACAGAGTGCTGCAGGGGTGAGTTCTAAAACCTGGAAATTTTAGTTGGTGTTTAGCATTTATGGTTCCATCGTTACAAAGTCACTGGGTTTTTTAATTGGTTTTTGGTTAAAAGCCTAAAAATAAGGTCTGTGGTTAACACAAACTCAAGATATTTTATGTTTTATTCTGTGACATAAAATACATCAGGAATTCCCCACTTGTGATTTTTTTTTTTTCTTTTAGGGGTTTTGAAAAAGGTGATTGCTAATAAGTGGTGAATTTTATCTTTAAACTTATCTACCCACTAGTCTAGTTTTTAACCCCATTGTGTTTATACTCACACACTTGCAAACTATTCTAACTCAAACTTTCCAATGTGTAGATTTTAATTAAAGGTTAAAAGAGTTGTTGGAAGTTTAGTGATGGTGACGTTGATCGTGCAGCTGTGGTGTATTTTTATTTTTTTGTAACTTTAGCTTTTTACTAACGGTGATTGTATTTAGGCTTCACATTTTATTAAAGTTGTGTTCATTTTTTTTTCATTGTTTTGTTGAACAAAACATGTAAGAATCATAAACTTTTGTTGGTCACAGGTCTTACTTTCTGCAGTAAAACAAAAGCAATTGTAAGTAAAAGCAAATGCTTACTAAAATGCCGTCCCTACAGCACTCTAGCAAAGGAGAAGTATCAGATTTTCTGCTTTATCCATCTTCTTCCCTCATGAGAAATATTCAAAACTAAAGCAATACAGAAATGACACCTAATTAAAATTACACCTGTTTAGTTTTGAACATTTCTCATGGGCGTTGAATTCTTTTTTTCTTTTCAATCAAAAGATGTTAAATCTCTTCAGGGTTGCTGCAAACTTAGTACAATCATATTTAAGACTTTTTAAGACTTTTTTTAAGACCCAAACAGAGAAAAAATAATGCAATTTTTGTACAGCAAAACAAACAGCCCTGAAGAGATTTAACATCTTTTGATTGAAAAGAAAAAAATAATTCAACGCCCATGAGAAATATTCAAAATTAAACTGGTGTAAAATTCACAACTTATTAGCAATCACCTTTTTCAAAACCCCTAAAAGAAAAAAAAATCACAAGTGGGGTATTCCTGATGTATTTTATGTCACAGAATAAAACATAAAATATCTTGAGTTTGTGTTAACCACAGACCATATTTTTAGGCTTTTAACCAAAAACCAATTAAAAAACCCAGTGACTTTGTAACGATGGAAGCATAAATGCTTAACACCAACTAAAATTTCCAGGTTTTAGAACTCACTCCTGCATTGCAAGATGTTAAATCTCTTCAGGGTTGCTGCAAACTTTGTACAATCATTAAGACTTTTTTTAAGACCCAAACAGAGAAAAAATTATGCAATTTTTGTACAGCAAAACAAACAGCCATTAACAGTTTTAACATGTTAATGTTTATTCAACAAAATCAGTAACATCAAAACTGACACATCTCAGTATATTTTTGTAGATTAGAAGCCCTTCTCTCAATTTCTTTATCCAACATATCTAACTCCTCTCTCTAGTCCTTGTATCATCTTCTTAGTGTTAGACTTTGTAATCAGTTTTTAACACATGTAACTATTTTAATTAAATAAAATTAATAACACCAGAACTGATACATCTCAGTATTATATTTCTCGTAGCTCAGAAGCCTTTCTCTCAATCTCCTTATCCAATTAATCTCTCTCCTCTCTCTTCTCCTTGTAGTGTCTTCTCAGTGTGTTTGACTTCGTAATCAGTTCTGCCATCTTTGTCCCTGTCATACTCTCAGCTTTATCTGCAAAGCTGTCTGCATTTTTTTTCTACACTCTTAAAAATAAAGGTGCTTCAAAAGGTTCTTCGAGCGATGCTATAGAAGAACCATTTTTGGTTCCACAAAGAACCATTCAGTCAAAGGTTCTTTAAAGAACCATCTCTTTCTTACCTTTTTGTGATCTGAAGAACCTTATTTCGCCACAAAGAACCTTTTGTGAAACAGAAAGGTTCTTGAGATGTTAAAGGTTCTTTATGGAACCATTTAGACAAAAAGGTTCTTCTATGGTGAAGCACCTTTATTTTTAAGAGTGTAGGGTCTCGCACACACTGTGGATGGTTCTTCTTTTCTTCCGTAGAACTTCAAGTTCATCTTCAGCTATTTTTCTTTTAGTCATCTGTTCATCCTTTGTCTTTTTCCTTTTTTCCTCAACTAGGTACATTCTGTACCTGGTCCGTGCAGTTGCACAGTAGTTTAGCAACTCTTTTGTAAGAGGTACCTGGGTCACTGCACCATACACTCTCACATGGTCACAGATAAGTCTTTGGGCAACAACCGTTTCTTCATCCATGTTACATGTTTCCACCTCTTTGTTGACTGAGAACCCACGTTCAACTGTTGCTTGGCCATGGGAGAGAATCAGCAGCTTTTTCATAAAACCCCACAACTCAGGTGATGAGGTGCTCATATGCTGATGCAAAAGCATGTCGACTCTGGACTTTGGTTCTGTGGGACTGAATTCCTTGAAGCTTGCTGCTCTGGCCTCACTGAAGATGAATGTCTCAAACTGCTGTGCAATCACATCACCTGTATTTAAAAAAGAAAAATCAATATTGGCAGTTGCTTACACATTGGACCTTATTGTAATGCATTTTAGTTGTGTCGGTATGTCCAGAAACTCTACCCTCTGTCTGTTTCTTATTCTTGTTCTAGATGTTTTCTGACCGTTTTTAAACCGTATATTTCACCCCCAGCCAATAACCGCACATAGGGTGTGATAATGGGACTCTAAAAAGAGGATGATCATAATGTGACTTGCAACCAGATGCAAGATTGTAAGCAGTGTAATTAATGCAGAACTCTGTCTTACAAAACTGGATGAGACAAATTCCTAACTATTATTTACCAACCGTTAGACTTGGCAACTGCTTATCCTGTACAAACTTCTGGATGAGGCCCTTTTTTTTCTGCAAGCACACATCTGGCTCAGAGTACATTTTATTTGGGTCCAGACATGTCATGTTTCGGACAAAGTGGTACTTCAGTGGACATTTATCCAGAATCTTCTTGCAGATGTTTGCAAGAGCAATCCCACAGTCTTTCATGAACTGCAGCTGCCTAAGCTCGCCTACTCTGCTTTGACTCCCTGATGTTCCCTGGCAAAAATAGACACAAGTGATATGTGCAAGATATTTAAAAGTATATGAAAAAGCAGAATCCTACTAAACAAATTCATAAAGAACCTTTTATAACTAAAATGAAAAGTGAGTGGCACACCTTCAAGGCAGCTGTGGCTCCCATCCCAATATCCACTCCCTTTGAACTGACCCATAGGCTCTGATCTGTCACATCAAGCCTGACGAGCTTTGACACAGAAACAAGAAGGACATCCCGCTGGATGAAACGTCATAGAAGGCTCTGAGAAAAGATTTATTTTGAGTGAATAATACTGCAATTACAATCCAGAATTAATTCCCTTAAGGTAAACTTAAAAATTCAAGGTCCAGAAGGGTAAAAAAAAGACATTGTTAAAGTGGTTTAACCTCTATTTTAAGAAGAGATGCGAGTGAAAAACATAATTTACTAATATACTGACAAAATAATATTATTCAAAGTTTGTTCACAGAGTAACTTTTAGTCTCAAGTCAACACAACACACATTGCGTTGTGGTGCCCCCTCTACTGGGTTGCAGATCAATAGTTCCTTAAATTAAGTGGTATTCATAAAAACCATAAAATTAAAGTTAAACCCACTGGAGTCACAAGGAGTACTTTAAGTCTTTCCCCCCCCTTTTTTTGGACCTTGAATGTGTAAGTTGCATTACTCCCAATTAATTTTCAGATTAAATCAAAAATAATTTCATTTGTGTTCTGAAGATGAACACCAGGGGTGAGTAGAATTTTTATTTTTTGGGCGAACTAACCCAATAAGCATGTAAGCAATATAGCAGGTAACAAACAATGGAAGAAAATATAAATATATATTTTCAAGCACATAACATGCATAGCAAGTGTACATAACATGGTTATGAATAAAAAAGGCGTAAGACACTATAAATTTTTTTAACACAAATACTTAACCTGACAAGATCTTCCAAGTCTTTGCACAGGAAGGGGATCATAGGAACATCAGTTTGGTACTTGGTGAGAAACGGCTGAAAGTTTAAGGAGGTAGACATGAAGAAGTGCAGCTTTGGTACAGTTAGGGGATCCATTCTGGCCTCTGCTACAGTGTCATATGAGGATGATCCTGGGTTGGGGAGCTTTTTCATTGTTTCATACATAGGTGACAATGGATGGCCTATGAGTTTTTCACTTCCAGCCTTCGTAGACAATTATATATCACTTATAAATCATTAAATACAAAATTAATAGTAGTTATTAAGATTGATGTTGTTTGGAATTGGTAAAAGGTGCTTGGGGAAAAAAATGATCAGAATATCAACTTGCCTAATAATTATGCATGCACTGTAAGTACTAACAAATAGCCAATGTGTTAATAATAGGCATGCTAATAAGCAACTACTTAATAGTGAGAATTGGTCCCTATACTGAAGTGTCACCAATTATTTTTTCCCCTAAATGCTATTTTGAAATTCTTCTTCAGGTTATTTCCTTTTCCTTTTCACATGAACTGAATGGGATCTTTATTTGTAGGCTATATTTATTACATAAATGTCCTGTCTCAGTGTACACACTTACAGAGCACCAAGCTCTTAAACGTCCCATTAGCCTCCTTTTGTTTCCAAGCGGCTGCCAGGTGACCTGACACCTGGAACACGGTGAGAATAGCCCCTTTCACTCATAAAGACTTTACTGGAAAATTATCGGTAAATTGCCATAAATCATGTGTGAACAGGCCCATTTTTTAAATACCGGTAAATTCGTTCAGGCAATTTACCAGTATGAGAAGTTGTAACATTACCAATAAATTTCCAGAATTCAGCTGTGTGTGATTTTACCGGTATTAGCATGTACCAGTTACGAGTTCAGAACGCACTGACATAAGACGTCTATTCCGGGCCAATCCAGAGTCATTGAAATTCAAACTTCAACGGCTCTGGGCCAATCATAACAGTCTGATGCAGATGCAGTGTTGCCAATTTAGCAATTTTGTTGCTAGATTTAGCAACTTTTCAGACTACCCTAGCAACTTTTTTTTCAAAAAGCACCTAGCAACAAATGTAGCTATTTTTAAAAAGTTTTTGGCAACTTTTTTAAAGTGACTCAAATGATAAAAAAGACATATTTTCATCTAAATTACACAAAAAGAGGAAACCATTGAACAGCTAGCCAGCCAAGCAGCACATCAACCTGGAGAGAGCTAGAGAAACAGTACAAACAAATGTGCATTAAGTTGTTCCAATTGGTCAATAATAAATGCACATTTATGATACCGCATGTTATTAGCTTGTAATTGTTGTTCAGTTAGGTACACTGTAAGAAACAAATATGTGGGAAAAACTGAAAAAGTACTAGTCATTTTCTGCCAGGATGTTATCCATTAAGTTGTAACCTGTAACCTTAAAACACAAAAGGCAATGTGGAATTTAAAACACAGGTAAAACACCTGTAAAAAATAAATACGTATCGTCCCTTCATATAAACAGTACATTGTGTCCTATTTTTATAGATTTTGTGTAGCACACTAATTAACTAGTACACCGCTTAAAACTGTAATTGTTCAGAATGTGCAGTTTTACTAGTTATAAGAAAATACATAAAATGTGTAACTGTTCAATAATTCAATGTTGTAAAAAATCAGATCATAAAGATGTGCTACTTATGTTACTTTTACAAATTAAAATATTTTATGTTTATAATATTTTTATGAACAAATAACATTTAAAAAATATTTTTCGCTGAGATTTGAGTAATATCGTTGTGTATTCCACATAAAAACGCTGTTTTGTGTAATGGTTATGCAATGACGTCATCACGCAACGACAACATCATTTAGCAACTTTTAGCAACAAATCAATCTGCCTTTAGCAACTTCCCCTGAAAATTAGTTGGCAACGCTGTGCAGATGACGCATTTACTCTGCACTGTGTTTAAAGTTGTGTAATGCGATGTCTCTGGGCCAAAAGAAGCTGCATGTGAACATTTGACACAAAAATGAAAACATCAGCAAAAACACTGACCATGTTACAAACACAACACCAGGAGGCGCAGCACGGCTCAGTACGGTACGACACGGCTCGGCTCGGTTTGCGTTTCCACTGCAGTTCAGTGCCGCTTTAGAGTGGGCGGGATTATTCACATGTCGTTATAGTTGCGCCGCCTCTACTACCGCGACTCCTGAAAAACGTTTTCATTCCGCATCGCCCATCAAGCTCTCGCTGGATCCGCTCCTCTGCTATCAACGAGAGGAATGTCTGTACTTCCTCAATAGACCACGAAACAGACACTTTTTGGTTGTTAAAAAAGGTGCGCTCGTTCAAAATTGTTGCGTTCGATCCTTCGCTGGCTGTGCTGATTTAAATCTAGCGGTTCTGTTGTGTTTGTGTCGCAAGTTCAGTGACGCAGGTAGTGACAATTCTCTCCGGCCAATCCGTGATCAGCAGAGTTTACACGTCACGTTTTGGTAATGGTACGGTTCGCTTGGAACCTCAACCGAGGTGGTACTTAAAAAAAAGTACCAGGTACTGTACCCAGTGGAAAACCCCCCAAAAGTGAACCGTACCGTGCCGTACCATGCAGTGGATAAGCGCCATATGTGAACGAGTGAATTTACCCATAAAGTCGTTCCGGTAATTTTACTGATATTACTGTGTGAAAGGGGCTAATGAGATTTCTCAGAGACTCTGACGAGAAATTCACGTTAATCCAGAACCATTCAAGAGGATGTTTGTTTTTATTGATTGTGTTGATCAGTGATTCTGTGTGTGTGTCAGGTGGGAGTATGATGAGAGCTACTGCGAGGCGGTGAAGAAAATGCCTCCTTACGATGCCGGTCCACGGCTCCTGGATGTTATCGACACAGCCATCTTTGATTACCTTATCGGTAATGCAGATCGCCATCACTATGAGAGTTTCCAAGACGATGGAGGAGCCAGTATGCTCATCCTTCTGGACAACGCCAAAAGGTAGAAAGAAAGAAATCTAGAGATCTAGTCACCTACAAGATGATCGACCCAAATTTAACTGGGCTTCTACCAGAAAACATTTTGTTTGTTTGTTTATTGACACATGTAAGACGGTTTGAACTTTTGTGTTTCTCCTGCAGTTTTGGGAACCCAGCTCTGGACGAGAGGAGTATTCTCGCCCCTCTTTATCAGTGTTGCATGTGAGTTCACACACAAACACTGAGTAACCATGGACTTCCTCTTACAACCCACTTTGGTTTCCTAAAAATGGCACAATTCTGGCAGTCCCTAACTTCTGGCTTCCTTCATCTGCTGGCTGTGGTGATGAATGCTTCCCATTCTGTTCTTTTCAAACAAACACACAGACCACTGACATGCTGTTGACCTTCAGTTATACAACAAGCTTTTGAGTGGTTTTGCCTGGATGAGTGTCTGTTAAGGTTTCCACTGAAAGGTGTATATGTAGATAGTTCACACATAATGTTCTTTTTTTTTAATCAAGATTTTAGGGTAAAATTTAAATTGAAGGCACCATCAGTGGTGTGCTGTAGTCTTTCCTCCAATATAAATGTTTTGTTTTCAATTCCTATATACATGGTTTCTGAGCTAATTGCATTTGGAACAGCATTTACCTTGGAAAAATGATCAAGCAACCACTACTACATTTATATTGTAATAAATATGGACATTTTACTATATAAATCCAGTCACAAAGTGATTTTTTTTACATTGCTTCAAAAAGAAAATACTGCATAATACTGCTGTTTAAAATGTTGAGGTCAGAAATGGGATCAGAGAATGCTTTTATTTAGCAAGGATGCATTAAATTGATCAATAATAACTGTAAAGATGTTTATAATGTTTTAAAAAATAAAATTAAAATTTATATAAAAAATCTATTTCAAATGAATTTCTATGCATTAAAGAATCAGCAGCAAATCAGCATATTAGAATGATTTCTGGATGATCGTGTGACACTGGAGTGTGAAGACTGGAGCAATGAAGCTGAAAATTCAGCTGTGCCATAACAGGAATAAATTACATTTAAAATATATTAAAATAGAAAGGAGTTATGTTAAATTGTAATATTTCACACTGTTGTTCTGATCAAATTACTTTTAAGAGACCCTGATATTTTGTACAGAAATATACAGTAATACATTTGACTTTTAATCAATAAAGCCAGTTTAAAAGCTGTTGAAATGCTCCCAGATATGTGACATTAAATTACATAAGTACATACATTCTGGGGAATGAGATATTGATTGACTAACAGATGAAAAGCCTTATGTAGCTTTAACTGTACGTGTGCATTTAAGACTTCCTGTCTGACTATCGGAATTTAAGGCCGCTCACACTGACAGTGATTTCACGCAACAAATCAATCGCAAGTCATTCATTTTCAATCAGAGGTGGCGTTTTGAGGTGTCATGAGAAACCGTGTCCATTAAATGATGTGACAAAGTTGAGCCAAGCTCAGCGTTATGCAAATGTGCATCGAACATCTGTGGTTTCGTTGCTTCCTGTCATTTCATTTGTGCTCTTGAATGAGCAAGACACAATTTGATGTGTTATTTCTGTCTCTCTCTCATTGTATCCTAAAGGGTCCGTGTTTCCACCTGGAACAGGCTAAACCTGCTAAAAGGTGGAGTGTTGAGTTCAGCGATGCGACAGGCCACAGGCCACGATCCCGCCTTTCCGGTGCTAATGGGGCCGCATCTCGCCGCGCTCGACCGCCGTCTCAACGGAGTGCTGGCAACCGTGCGGCAGTGCATGGAGACGCAGGGCGCTGACAACACGCTGATCGAGGACCGCATGAACCTGCCTCATCCTTAAACACACTGGAGAAACAAGGGAAGTGAAGATGTGTTTGACTCTTAATGCACAGGCTCCTTTCGCCTTCCTGCTATGGAGCCAGAGAAGCGGAGGCCACAAAAAGCCTTATGAGCCCGACCTGGTGGAGTTTGATTTTCACTGGGTTCAAGTCAGACCACAGAGGCCAAGAAGACTCTCCAAACTGTTTTTTCTTGCTCTCTGGATGGAGTGAGGAGGCCTTGACAACATGTAGGTGGACTGCACTTCACCTTTTTACTGTTATTGTTTGTCTTTTTTTCTTTTGCCATCCAAGTCCGTTTGCTTGAAGATGGATTAACGTTTTTTCAGAGTTACAGATGTGGATCTTGGAATGAGATCTTTGGAGTAATTAGACTGAGGAAGCTGGAAGACGGATCCAGAAGACTTAATAGAACTTCCCCATTGTGTCTCCCACATTGTATATACAGAACAAACTTTTGAATAATACCGAGTAATAATAATATTGATCTAAAGATAAAATGAATTATGATAGACTCACTGTGTTCTGTATGCAGGATGAACACAGTGTTTGAACAGAGCTGGGTGGCTGTTGCTACTGATGTTCAGAGAAGATGGTGAAGACGACAGCATTGTAAGATTGCTGTGGGGCATTTTCAGCATTAAAAATTAATATTTAAACTTACAGAAGTTTGTGTGTATGAACCATTTGTTCACCCTTTCTTATTTAAAGACAACTGTACACAAATGACAGAAACAGCAACATGTGGTTAAGCCACATGCTGTTGGCACATTTTTTTGTCTAGACTAAACACAAAGACACACAAAATCTGTCCAAATATGGGGCTTGGCCAGTATTCACGTAAACCGTTGATTTTGTCTTAGTGTTAATGTCAACGGTTGGGAAACAATTGGATGTGTATTAGTATATTGCATGTGGGAAGTGATGGCAGCTGTCTGTGTTAATCAAACAACAACAGAAAAAGAGAAAAATGTCCAAACCTGCTCCTGGAGGGTTAGCTCCAACCCTAAAACACATGAGCCAAAGTAATCAGGGTCTTCAGACTCACTATAAACTCTAGGCAAGCAGGTTGGAGCAAAACTGAGCTGGACAAGGCCCCCTAATATGTAGATGAATTTGTTTTTTCATCAGAACTTCAGTGGAGAAACCACTCCAGTCCACCAATGAATGTGTTGGGAAGTGAAAATCTGTGTTTGTAACAAACAAATCCATCAAGACATAAACTAAAAATATATAGGGGTAATTTTGTGTCAAATCAACCAAATTTAAGAAATTTTCCCAGCTCAAATTTTTGATTTTACTAATATTTTTTCTGAAGAAAGATGAATATGTATAGTGATGATAGCCCAAATATTAAATGTCATGGCTTAATATTTACTAAGTATATACGGGTCTATTTTGTAGAGGGGGGTCAAAATGGCAATTTTCTCTTGAGATTCAGAGCCAAATTACAGGGGGTTAAAAATGACTTCAGAAAAATGGCAGCATCACAATGCTATTTTTACCCAGAGATCAGTAGGCCTGTAAATAATATATGTTGACTTTAGCCATCTTTGTTGCATTATGTGCCAATGGTCACATTGTATACAACCAATGCTTATTTTATTTAAATTAGAAAATGTGAAGAACTAATGTTGAAACTAGACATGCATTTTGTTTCTCTCTGTCAAAATATGCATAGACATACCTGAGTGTCATAAATATTATTTTTCCAAAATGTGCGTGAAGTATTAAAATTGCCATTTTGACCCCCCTCCACAAAATAGTGGATTACTCTATAAATATTAATCCATGACTAATATTTTGGCTATCATCACTATACAGGTGCATCTCAATAAATTAGAATGTCATGGAAAAGT